AGATAGATAGATAGATAGATAGATAGATAGATAGATAGATAGATAGACAGACAGACAGAGAGAGACACATAGATAGTAGATGATGGATAAATGATAGACAGACAGTAAATGATAAATAATAGACAGACAGACAGATAGATAGACAGACAGACAGACAGTAAATGATAGATAGATAAATAGTAGAAATACTATTTACAATGGTATCTTGGTTCTCATAATTAATTGGTTCTGGGAGGTGTGATAAGTACCAAAAATGATGAATACCAATCAATTTTTCCCCATAAGAAATAATGTAGTGAGTCACAAGGCAGCAGACACCGACAAATTCTAACTTGTGCGTTGAGTAGCAAACAAATGATGAGTACCAGGACAGAATTTTCACATCAAAATGGAATGGAATTTTCACATCAAAATGGAAATAAATGTAAAAAATAATAATCTATTAACATATACCATGTTAATAAACATAGAATCCCAAACTTCGTTTAGACTGTTGAGGCCTTTCTTTTAAGCAGCAGGTACGGAATTAGAGTAGCAACTATACACAGAAACATACTGGAGGAGGGAAGGGAGGGAGAGGGAGAGGGAGAAGGAGAAGGAGAGGGAGGGAGAGAGAGAGAGAGAAAGAAAGAAAGAAAAGAAAAGAAAGAAAGAAAGAAAGAAAGAAAGAAAGAAAGAAAGAAAGAAAGAAAGAAAGAAAGAAAGAAAGAAAGAAAGAAAGAAAGAAAGAAGAAAGAAAAAAAACCCCCCTACTTTTGTATGAGGTATTATGTTCCATCATGTTGGTGTCTATGCTTAGCAACTAAACAGAAAGACCTTCAGTAGAATGAAGTGTCCCCGACCTGCTCCTTCAGATCTTATACACACAAACACACAAAGAGAGAGAATGGGGAGGGGGGGGAGAGAGAGAGAAAGAGAGAAAACTTACTTTTGTAGGATGCATTATGTTCCATTGTGTGGTGTCAACACTTAGCAACTAAACAGATAGACCTTTACTGAAGATCTATCACTACTGAATGGAGTGTTCCCAACCTGATTTTTCAGATCTTCTAATGGTGCACCCATCGTCACCCTAATCAAATTCATCTACTTTACTGCTGACTATCTTCCCCTTCTCTTCCCTTTCCTGGTTATCATGAACTTCTCAAGAGAGCTCGGTCTTCTTATCATTTGTCCAGAATAGGAATCTTTTGAGCTGGGTCCCTAGTATCTTGGGTGCAACAAAGCATATTCAGATAAGGAGTGGAGTTAGCAGACATTACTTTAATGATAGGGCTGTATTTTGGAGAGCATTTGAGCATAAAGACACTGGGCTCATCTTCTTTTGAGGTAGTCAGATAACAGATAATCAGAGTTGGAAGGGACCTTGTAGGTCATCTAGTCCAACCCCCTGCCCAAGCAGGAGACCCTACACCATTCCTGACAGATGAGAGTCCAATCTCTTCTTGAAAGTCTCAAGTGATGATGCTCCCACAACTTCCGAGGGCAACTTCTGTTCCATTGGTTGATAGTTCTCACTGTCAGAAAGTTTCTCCTTATTTCTAGGTTAAATCTCTTTGTTCACTTTCCATCCATTATTCCTTGTCTGGCCTTTGGGTGCTTTAGAAAATAGCTTGATCCCTTCCTCTCTGTGGCAGCCCCTCAAATATTGGAAGACTGCTATCATGTCTTCCCTGGTCCTTCTCTTCACTAGACTATGCCCAGTTCCTGTAACCGTTCTTCATATGTTTTAGTCTCCAGTCCCCTAATCAACCTGGTTGCTCGTCTCTGTACTTTTTCTAGTCTTTCAACACCATTTTTATAACGTGGTGACCAAAACTGGATGCAGTACTCTAGGTGTGGTCTTACTAAGGCTTTATAGAGTGGTATTAGTACTTCCTTGATCTCGATTGTATTACTTTGTTAATGCAACTTAGGATTGCATTGGCTTTTTTGGCTGCTGCTGCACACTGCTGGCTCGTGTTTAGCTGGTTGTCCACTAAGACTCCAAGATCCCTCTCACAGTCACTGCTATTGAGCCTGGTTTCACCCAGTCTATATGTGTACTTTTGGTTTTTCTTGCCTAAGTGTCCTTTCCTTTTGATTTTGTTTGAATGGTAGCCGATAATATTGTTTAGTGTGGAAGAGCCTCGAAAAAAGCAACTAAGTGTATGCGGGTAGTCCTCAACTTATGACCACAATTGAACCCCAATTTTTTGTTGCTAAGTGAGACAGTGAAGTGTATTTCTTGCCATAATAGTTAAGTGAATTGCTGCAGCTGTGAAATTAGTAACACGGTTGTAAAGTGAACTTGGCTTCCTCATTGACTTTGCTTGTCAGAAGGTCGCAAAAGGGGATCACGTGACTCCGGGACACTGCAACGGTCATAAATATGAGCCGGTTGCCAAGTGTCTGAATTTTGATCATGTGACCCATCACAGGGATACTGTAATGGACCCAAGTCCCTTTTTTTCAGTGCCATTTTAACTTTGAAAGGTCACTAAATGAGCTGTTGTAATTCGGATCCCAAATGTTCTTTTTCAAGAGGCAAATGGACTTTCATTGTTTTTCCTCAAAGACGTTTCACTTCTCATCCAAGAAGCTTCTTCGGCTCTGACTGGGTGGTGGGGAATGGGAGGATTTATACTCCTTGCAGACAGCTGGTCATTTGCATCTTTTTACTGGGTCGTTAAGGTCACCTGAGTGCTGCAAATAGGTGTGGAGCCTTCTTGGAACTGTTGAAAGGACTGTGTTCTAGATTGGAGATAGATGATGTTGTACCCTTCTCCCTCTGTTGAGATAGGCTATTCAGTTAGCTCAACTATGTCAAGATGGCCTCTTTGACCCCCTCCTTCAAACCAGCAGTCTTCTATGTCCAAAATGTGGACCTTGCTATCTTTAAACAAGAAACCAGAAAGTCCAGTTGCCTCTTGAAACAGCACCTTTGGGCCAACCATGACCTGGATGACTGAGAATCTCCATAAACATTGTAACTCCAGGATCATCCGTAATATTGAAAGTGGGTATACCAAGCCTCCACACTCTTCAAAATACCTCTTCTCCTCCAGTGGTGGGATTCAAAATTCTTTACTACCGGTTCTGTGGGCGTGGCATGGCTTGGTGGGCATGGCAGGGGAAGGAT